GAAAACCGCGCTTAACGTGTCTTAATATAAGAAGACAGTGATATAAAAAGCCCAAATTTTATATTTTATTAAAAATATACTACAGGCAATCAACGCAGTTATCCATTAAGCCAGTGGTTCTCAAACCTTTTACAATGGCATACCCCCCCTAGGGCATTTAGCCTAACATTCTTCTGAGTACCCCCAACTTAGACCGCAGTCACACCTTTTCCATTAAGGGACAATAGATTTGTGCTGAATGAGAGCGGTACGTGAGCCCATATAGTATAGTTTAAAGTGTTATTCATGTCCCTCACCACAGCCGATGTAGGACAAATAATGAGACAAAATTCAAAAGTGTTAAATTTAATAGAGGTTTGTTTTGGTGGATGCCATGGTAAATCTTTGTTATACACATGACAGCATGATAGTCAGCATGTTTGTCTGTATTTGAATGTGGCTGTGTGATCAGATGAGATAAGGGACTGTTTGTGTTTGTGCTATTGTGTGTGTGTTGTCTAGCGTGTCTCAGAGGGGTATATATAGCAGCATTTTAGGTCACCAAAAGGCCAGTCTGAGTCTGTAACAACTGATGTTTCCCAAACCCTCCTCCTTTGTTCCGTCCTCCTCTCACAGCTGCTAATCTGTCTTACCGAGTTACACGTTTCTCTCCGTCTCTCCCTGAAGCTCTCAGAACTAGTTATCAATCTCATTCAGTCCCTCACTCACCGGCTCAAGCATGCACACCTCCTGACAGTTATCTCCTTCTCTCTTTCCCTCTCTGTCAGTCATCTGAGCCGTATCTAGTGTCAGGGTTGATCGGAGAACCCCAGAGGACCGATGTGAGAGCCATCATTCACTTAAAACTGTAGTTTTCCCTCCATCGGCCTGCGTCTCCTATTTGTACTCCTCATCCAGGGTTACCATAGCAACCCCCACCCCCACCACTCATCCACACCCTTTTTCTCGTAGCACTCGTCTCACTCTGGGGACCAGGCTGCTGTTTTTCTAGCTAGAGGCCCTCAGGGGCCGCCGGGCCTCAGTTGTTGCTGGTGAGTGCCGTCATGATGTTACGAAAGGGGCCGGCTAATTACAGAGCAAGGTGTCGGACGCACTGGAATTTTCTTTAATAATAACAATAACATGAGTGTGATTTATTCTGTGGCATGATACACATCATACGCAATCAGGGCTCAACAATAAGGATGGCCCACTGGCCCGGGACCAGTGTTTTTTAGGTCAGCTGACGGAACTGTCAGTTGTCCTATTAGGGCCAGAGCTATACCTGTATCATTTTACAGCTGTTATTGTAAATCCTGTTTGTAAAGAAGCCTAAAAAGCCTATTTATATTTGTGGGGAAAAAATACTAATTTCAAATGCAAAAAAATAGATAATTTCAAATTCACTTTCAAATTTACAAGCATACATTTAAATTCATAATTTTTACGTTTTTTTTATGTTTTTTATGTTAAGGCCAATTAAAATGTGAGTGGGCAGTAACAAAAAAATTGTTGAGCTTTATTCATGTTCCTGTGGCTCAGTGGTAGAGCATTGCGTTAGCAGCGCAAAAGGTCATGGGTTCAATTCCCAAGGAACACACATACTGGTAAAAAATGTATAGCCTGAATGCACTGTAAGTCGCTTTGGATAAAAGCGTCTGCTAAATGCATAAATTATTATTAATGATTAAATTATTAATTATAAATTATTTAACACATACAGTATATATTTTGAAAATATTTACATGTATTTACATGTATATATTTATATTCATATAATTTATATTATATATAAATTATATTTAATATATAAACGTAACATTTTTCTTAAATATATACATGCATGTGTGTGTATTTATATATACATAATAAATATACACAATACACACACAT